ACCTACCTATCACGCTCAGCATGTGTGGTAAACCTCTGCAGAAGCCTTTGTCTTAGACAGGTCTAGGACCAGGTTGCAGAAAACAGGGTCAGATCTAGTCTCGGCTCAGGAAGAGGAGGCATGTTCTCAAGGCACAGTTGCATATCAGATGGTAAGAAGCAGAGACTCAAGACAAAGGTTTTAGCTCAGGAAGAAAATAGCAAGGGCAGGGGCTTCTGCCTGCCTTAAGTCTAGAAAAATGTTACACAGCTCCATCGTGATCCAGCCTCACTCACCAGGGTCAGAGACAGAGAGGAACATGTGGCCAGAGCCCTCCTGAGTCATCAGGACTTATTTTACTGAGCTTCTGCCCTGCAGTGTCTCCCACACATGGAGAACTGCAGTAGATTGAGGAACTGACTAAGGATTGTGAAGACCAAAGCTATATAGGGAAACAGTATCCATATGTGGGGGAGGTGGGTAGGGGGATATGGAGACATTATGAAGAAAGGCTAATGTGATTCCTGAGCCAGAAAGGTCCCACAATCTTCCTTATGCAAGCTGGAGACCCAAGGAAAGCTGGTGGAATAGTCCTAGCCTTGCTCATCAAGAAAACAGATAACAAGAAATGCTGGCAAGGATGATGATCAAAGGGAACATTTACACACTGCTGTTAGTAATGCAGACTTGTCCAGCTACTATGCAAATAAATATGGAGGCTTCTTAAACCTGAAAAAAGATCTCTCACATGACCCAGCTCAACCACTTCTTGGTATTTACCCCAAAGACTCCAAGTCAACATATGATAGACATACTTGCAGCACTTTTTTATTGCAGTACTGTTCATAATAGCTGGTATGGAACCCACCTAAGTATTCATTAACAGAAGAACAGATAAAGAAAATGTGATTTTTATACACAATGGAATTGAAACAAATTTTACAAAGGAATAGTGAATGATAGAGTAAAAGTTAAGTTTGGATCATTTGTAGGATGTCTTCAAAGACAGGAGAGAGGTACAATTGTCTTAGGGAACAAAGGACTAATGGGAGGGGGAGGAGTGAGAAAGAGAGGAATATGCTTAAGACAGATTTATACTTGCATGAAAATGGCCTATGCAACCTGGTATAATTAAAAGTGAGCTCTTAAAAATATGTATAATATGTAATCACTATGTAAATTCTAAAATGCAGTAAGTTATGTGTTATTTTGGATCCATACATATGTGGAAAATGTGTAACAAAAAACAAAAACATAAAAGATACACAATAATATTGAGGTGATGAATTGAGGCAAATAGGACTGAAATAGATTCTGAAGGAGAAACTTCAATTTCATCTGTAATACTCTCTCAAAAAAGAAATTAAAGAAACGTCACAAAATTTCGGTATTTATTAAATCAAAGTGGAGGATACATTAATACTTTCTTTTCCAATATTTTCATTTATATGTAATCATATCGATAATAAAAATAATAATAAATGAATTCATTTAAATGGCAAACTGCTATTCTGAAGATGCCACTCATAGATTTTATTACTTCTCTTGGTTAATAAAAATAAAAGGTAGAAGAGATTTCAGAACATTCACGTTCACCAGCGAAAGGGTGTTTCCCATGGATGGCCCTATTCATGAGGTTTAGAGAAACCTTTAACACAGAGAGTCCAAGATTATATTGTCATTATTTTAGAGAGTTTTAATGGTCTGTTGTAAAGCAGTGTGAATGGAGTCAGTTAGATAAATCCCCAAGCAGCACTTTTAAGTCTTGCATTTTTTTTGCTCAGTCAAAAAAATCTGTCTCACTCCATCCTGGATAATTCTGTTAAGCACTTGTGCCATATGTTTGCAGAACCTTCAAATGAAGCAATATGAAAGCATTTATACAATGTGTTTTCTGCTGACTTTTTCAGCAGATCAGCAAAGCTACCTGTCATTCCTCTGAGCCCATGTAACAAATGACCTTTGGCTATGTCCTTGTTTAGCAGAATAAGCAGCACCACTATAACCGGTTCTTTCACTGATGTGTATTGATATGTGGCTAGTATGCTCAGAATTTGGCTATTATTCATCATGTAGATTAGCAGAGACAATGACCTGTGACTTTAGAATTGCAGTTCTGAGGTTAAATATGCCGTTGACCATTTTATGGCCTATATCCAGTGTATTGTGTGTCAAACATTCACCAAATTAATTTGGTCAGTGACAACATTTTAACTAGAAAACAATTTCAGTGACTGGAGCAAGAATGTTTATAGTAGATATATTTTAAGTGCCTAGATATCAATGTCATTTAACATTGCCGATATTACTGAACATGATTTATTGATATGTTATATATTACTTATTGATTATCATGGACAATTGGGCTCTGGAGATAAAGACCAAGATAATGCTACTCTCTTCAAATAGTTAATAACCTAATGAGTAATATAGAAGAGAAAATAAGAAGATAAGTTCTGTATGTGGATTGAGCACAGTGTATTAACAGAGCACATGACAGGGAGACCCAACCAAAAATGGAGTAAAAAGAGTATCAGTGGAGTCTTCCTGGTACGGGTGTGTGCTGATGCTTCGTTTGGAGACTAGAACAGTGTCCAAGCCCAGAATGTAGCACCTGGAAAGACTAAGACAAGAGGATGTACATTTGGAGCCAAATGTTCAGGCCACTTCTTTGTTTCAATAACTCTTTCCCACTCTCCGGCTATAGCTTTTTGACATTCCTAGCCTAGGTCACTCTAAGAGTGGCCATTGTACAACAATCACTTTCAAGTACTAAATTTGGTCATCAGACTAGTGACCACCCCTTACTCAACATCAATTAGAATTTCTGAGACATTGGGATTTTTTATTATTTTTTAATTATATGTGTATGCATGTATTGCCTGCATATGTGTAAGTGCACACATGTCATGCAGTGCCCACAGAGGTCAGAAAAGGGTGTTGGATCCCCTAGAATTGGAGTTGTAGACAGTTGTTAGCCACCATGTGGGTGCTGGGAATAAACCTGGGTCTTCTGCAAAATAGCCAGCAATCTTAACCAGTCCCACATTAGGACTTTTTTAAGATATGAAGAAGTGACTCTAGGATCTGACCCTCCATGGACTGAGGTGTAAAACCATGAGAAGAGCAATTCATACTCCAGAGCTGGCTCTTGACACCTTCAGATGCATAGCATTTCAAACGTTTCTCAATTCCGTTATTCACTCATTTCAAAACATTTAACTGGCATTCACTGTATGCTAGTATGCTGATCACTATAGATACATATATGAATAGAACATTAATGCTGCCATCCAAAACCTCAGTTCTGCGAAAAAGCCAATTTCTGAATAATCTCAATCACCTGAAATGATGACACCGAAGTAATTACACATTGGCCAGTTGGGAATAAAAGTAGGCCAAGGAAGAGAGAATGAATTTTGAGCTGGTAGGATGAACTACATGGTATATCGAGGCAGGAGGACTCTGAGCATGTTAGCAGCACAGGACATGAGAGCTGTGGCATTGGGAATAGAATACTAGACTGACTATCACAGGTCAAGGCATCCTTCTTGTTGGCAACTAGGCAGAACCCATACTCTGACAGCCAGAGTACCAGGACTAACTAGAAAGCTTAGTGCTCTAAAGTCTCTATGAGTTTATAAAAGCCACTTTGTACAAAATGAGGTCTTCAAATTTTCAAGAGTGACTCAGAAAGAGACAAGGGAAAATGTGGGGTTCTACTGGGCACTGAGCATCAGTGAAAGCACATCTACAGTAGAAACTGGGTATATCACTAGCAGGCAGCCACTAAGGGAGACTTCATTGATTACTGGGCCTGGCATCACATCCTTATAAAATCTCGTCTCCTTAGGAGATGCTAGCCTTAATATTGTATAAAAAAAAAATTGAGACGGGTATGTGACACTCTGGAGCCTAATGCTAAACCTTATTTCCTACAGCCTTCTGAGGTAAACTCACTGCTGTGGTTTTGAAACAGCACTGTGAAAAGCCCCCTGTAGTGAGGGGCCTAGGACTTCCAACAGCCATAAGAGTGACCTTGCTCAGAAGAAAACCACTCCCTGACCAATCCTTCAGATGAGACCACAGCCTAGGCTAGCACTTTGGTTGCAACTTCCTGGGAAGTATTGGGCCAGAAACATTCTGTTAAGCTGCACCCAGATTCCTGACCCCTGAAAGTGTGACAAAATAAACACTTCTTGTTTTAATCATCTATATTTTTGAATAATGTATTATGAATCAATAAGTAGTACACACCATCACCATTCACTCAAAGAGTCTATATATTCTACATTATCTGTGAAGACTTCATGGGCTGGCCACAAAGAGCTGTTTGTAATTATGACTGACCCACTTTGAGAAATAAGATTTATTTCAGCTCAAAATATATATGTGAAACTAAGGATGAAGCTATTCAAGTTTGCACAGGTGCTACAAAATAAGAGACAAGGTGGTGAAATTCCCAGTTGTGGCAGTAATGAGACCAGGGTAAGAATTATGCAGTCTTTTCCACCTGAGAGTGACTCCAAGCTCCTCTCTCCCCATCATGCACACATCTCTAGAGTACACATGAGATTCAAGGAAAGGGTCCTCAGGATGGCATCTTGGAGTCTTACTATACCCAATTCTTTCGTCTGTATTTGTCTTAGCTCAGTCCTGTAATTTAGGATGATTTGAGACTTTTGCACTATACAACATTTCTGGTACAGTTTTCCTTTCATTTTTCACAAGATACAATTATTCTTTCACATATTCGGGAGAAAACATTTCCATGGTAAGCTTATAACCTGCTCAGTCTTACTCTGAAGTAGAAAATTTAAAGCTAAAATCTACCATGAAGACAAGTTCCTAAGTTGAACCACTGAGTCTGTGATAGATCAACTCATTTGTTTAAATATTGAGTAAGCTTATAGTAAAAATGTATATATTTATATATAATGCTTTAATATTTTAGAATTGCAAATATGTCATTTTCTATATATCAAGAGCCTAATCCATTTCTTTTGAACTTTGTAACACAGGAGAAGAAAACCTCCTAGCAATTTTGCGACGAAGATGGTGGAGGTATATGATTCTGGGACTAATAGACTTGGAAGCTAATTACCTGGTAGTCAAGGCTTACCAGTACACGACTCTGACCAGTGTCCAGGTAATAATGGTTCTTCCTCCCTCAACTTCCTGTTTCCAGATATGGTTCACTTTGGGTTTAATTTCATGATAAGCTGGATGCTACATTATGAATTTTTCAACAAGGAGAAGTTTCTCTTCATAAAAAATTAATTTGAGCTTCATTTATATGTCATTAATTTTTCCTAATTCAAGTATAATTGGACAGCCTTTTCATCTTCTGGGTATACCAAAATAATACTGACAATGCAAAAAAATAATTCATGGATTTGAATGCTGTCAACTAATCTTGTATCAGCAAAAAAAAATATTAATAAGTATAAAAATGAATCTAATTTTATCACAACGCAACTTTTTAGAATGTTAATAGACTTTGATTAAGTAAGCAAGCTGCTTAATATTCTTTTCTTTCAGTTTTTTCCAATGCACTGAATATGCAATCTGATGGGATGTGTTTTTTTCTCCTAAAGAGATAAGGATAAAATTTTAGAATGTTATGCATGAAGACAGCCTCTGTGTTTATGTCTCTTTTTCTCCCTGTCCCCTCACATATATAAACACTAAACACTAATCCAGAATGTGTTTTCATAGTTATCAAATCTTGTTTTCCTTATGACCCAAATTAGTTTGATTATATTTTGTTTCCTTCTCATTTTTTAGTATAGAAATATGAATTTCAAACTCTTCCAAACTCCAAGAAAACAAAAAATTATTGAACAATGAGAATTATCTTAGGCTTGATAGTTCAAAAAATTTCTGTGATTCTTTAAATTTGTTTAGGATCTATGTCAGAAATGGGTAAACAAAGAGTGTGTGTGTGTGTGTGTGTGTGTGTGTATAATAAATTGTATGAGAAGTGATCTAAACAGCATTTTACCTTCCTATTTAGTCACTTCTATGATTTCTGTATGAATTTTGAAGATAATTTCTTGGGATATTTTTGCTGCTATAATAGAATACTTGAGTCTGGATAATTTATAATGAATTAAAATTAATTAGATTGCAGTTCTAGAGACTTGGAATTCACTCTCGAGGGAATATCTGCCAAGAACCTTCTTGCTGCATCATCCTTTAGAGAAGGTAGAAGAACAAGAGGGAATAAGAGGTGGGCCAAATCCACCCTTGGGTAATGGCTCTGAGCCCACCAGTGAAGTTGGAATGCTAGTGGTCTGACCACCTTTAAAGGCTCCCAGTCTCTAAGTACCCTTGAAGGGCAGTAATATTCAAACCATATATGTGGCTTGAAATAAAAGTAGTTAATGGTGTCATTTTTTTCCAGGACCATATCCACATGAAGTTTGTATTTTTTTTCATATGTGCACATATACACGTGTGCATATTTATGTGTATGCAGGTACTATCCACCTTTATTTTACAAAAAGTTCTCTCGCTGGCCTGAACTGGCCTAGTAGGTCATACTGAATGACCAGCAAGTCAAAGGGATCTACCTGTCTCTGTCTTCCCAACAGTGGGGTTATAAGATCATACCACCCCACTCAAATTAATTTTTTACATGAACTCTGGGGATCAAACTCTGGACCTTGTGCTTACAAGGCAGACACTTTACTGGCTGAGCTATCCCCCCTCCCCCGTCCATTTCCATACACAATTGTTTTGTGAGAATGTTTGTGGAATGAATTCCAGTGAAGATATACACTGAAACAAAAAGTGAACAAGTAAAGGAGACACAAGAAAGCCCTCTCACTTGGTCCTTAAAATTATGTAGCTGGTGGACTGATGTTGAATGCCACAAGCAAATGCCCATATAGATGCATGGTGAGGGTCCAGAAGCAATCCACCTTGCCTTTTAGCACTGTTCTTTAAAAATTATCCCTATGACAACTTTCTTCTTCCTAGAACATTCTTTAATCGAGCCATCAGGTCCTATGCATCTGGCTTTCTTATTTCTACCCTTTCCTTCTCATCATTTTCTCCAAAGAAAAGCTTTCCAAGATGCTTCATGCACAATATATAATATTTCTTTTGGCCAAAAATATTTTGACATGTTTGCATCCTCTGTTCTCTGGATATTCTTAGTAAAGTTTTAAACATCTTCAAAACAAGAACTGTTACCTGTTAGAATAAATTAATAAATTTTCTTGGTAAAACATCAGAAAGTGGCACTTAGAAATACATACATCAATATAAATATGGTTGTAAGACATTAACATTTGCTTTGTTTTTTTTTCAAAATATCACTGAAATCTAAGAAATTAGACAAGATGGTTGCAGATTCTAAGGGGAGAATAATTAATCACTTATCTTTCAGTTAATAGTGATAGTTATGGTATCCTTATATTCACATCTCCATACAATAAAACTTTAAAATGGAAAAACCGTTTAATTATGCCCTAATTACACTAAGAATACGCATAGTGTGTATAAATGAAGTAGGCTCCATGAAACCTTTTATATCCGGCTTGGTTTTTAAAAGTTTTTGTCAGCTTTCAATGATAAATAAATATTTTTTACTCATGGAAACAAAAATCATTGGCAGTGTCCCTGGCAAATATATCAACATCAGTACAAGTAGCCACTAGAAAGACAACAGTCCTTTTCTTCCTCACTCCACTTACTTTCTTTGTCTTATTCTTCTTTGATTAGAAAGAAGGTATAAGAGTAGGCTGTCTCCCACTGCAGATGCTCCATGAAATCCTTGAGTTTCAAGCACATCTGCATGCATACACACACACACACACACACACACACACACACACACACACACACACAGAGCATTTAAAAAAATTTTAATACCTTTGGTCAGGCTTTTCTATTATTTGGAATATGCTTTCTCTCCTTATCTCCTAACTATTGAAATTTTACTCATTTTAAAGTCCTTTCTACATTCAAGATGCTTTCAAATCATATATAATAGAAAGCTCAACAAAAACTGTCTTTAATGGTAACGAAATGTACTGAGTCTTGTAACTAGAGCATTTAGAGAATGGGCAGTCTTCAGGATAGTTAGTCAAATGTATTAATAATGGTATCAGGGGTTTGGGTTTTTCTACCTTACCCCTTCGTTGTTTTATCTGGCTTATGGTAATGCAGACCCAGCTCACAGTCAGAAAGTAAATTGCTGCCAAGTCACATGTTTCTCCATTCATTACCAGTGAGAGACAAAAAACACTTGCCCACAACCAGAGAACCCAAGCCTAGAAATTTATTCTGAATGGACCACACAAATGGCCAGAGGAATGCTGAGGCCTAATTGATTTAGACATGGATTCCCTGAACCAATAAGCAATGAGATGTTGCTCATTGGTTTACAGTGGCTTACTGTAGATGCATGCTTCTTAATACAAGTACTACCAGTAGTTTTAGTGGGACAGCACTGAATCCAAGTCAGGGTGGGATCAACTGCACACAATCACATTTCTATCACACATTGAGAGTGAGACAGATGGATGCAGGAGGACTAACTGCAGTGTTCTTATACCTGCTTTAGCCCCCACCTCCCCTCCTCCACAAACCCCACTAGGAGCACTGATTTCTCTGTCTTCTATGCTCCCAATGGTGCTTTGTTTTCTGCTCCCTTTCTAGTCTCCTGTCTAATAATGACTTTATATATATATATTTAATCCACCAAACTCAAGTTCTTTTACTGCAAACACAATTTCTTTTCACCTTTGATTCTCTAGCTCTTAGTAGAAACCCCAACACATACTGGATAATAAATGTTTTTAAAGAGGTTAATTAAATTGTGTCAAATTCTAGGATTTGGGGGACACAGAAATTCCCAGAAGTCCGTCACTTAAATGAAAGGCTCCTGGAGAACCCATGTGGGAGTGGACACACAGGAAAAATGCTGGTTTCTTTTCAGAACCAGGACCATGAGCCTGAATCAAAACTTCTAAATGGACCCAAGGAAAAATAAGGAGGGATGTATTTGATTGTTTTTCTTTTCTTTTTCTGTTGATCTTTTGAAAGTCACAATCAATTGTTGGTCTCTTTTAAGTTCTACAGACTTTTTTTCCAAAAAAATTTTCAACTGTTTCTTTGTGGGAAACAGTAACAATAGATTCCTAATATTGGTTCCCAGTGCCTTAGATGTATATATAGCTCAACTCATGTCATATACCATCACTAATCCACTCAGCTACCTTTCTCAAATCAGCTTGTTGACACACTGTTTAAGGCAACATTTTAGGAAACAGTTTGTTTAATTTCTCTATTAAGACAGACAAAAATTTCAGTGAAATTTCAGTTGGCTTTTATTATAATTTCCTGAACAAGAAAGAAGAGAAAGTAAACAAAGAAGTTGAATCTAACAGTTCTAGAGCCAGTTTGTCACCCACAACAAATAAACCTATTAAATAATAATAAATGGTCAAGATAGAAGGTATTTGTTCTAGTAACCCTGTACACTGCTGCTTACTAATTTAATTCTATTAACTCATTGCAAACTGGTGAAACTAACAAAGACCTATGATTGTCACTTGTTTCTGTAAATATCAGTTGAGTGCACAATATGTGTTTTACTAGTAATCAATAAGGAAAATAGCTTTCCTCTGTGAAATGTACTAGCAATTGCAGATGATGTAAAGAGACATGAATCAACCTTTTCTCCAGGCGTGCTTATGAGCTGCTAAAGGAGAGAAGAGGCATGGTTTAATGATAGTAAGGCTGCATACAGCCAAAGAACAGACACCAAGTGCTACAATGTTCAAAGGATTCAGGGAAGATGGGTATTGGAAAAGTTGAGAAACTACTCATAGGGGTCTGTGAGAGTGGATAAAGGATGGTAAGGGTAAAACATGGAGATGTCCTTGTGTACAAAACCAACAGTTTGGCAGAAGCTTGGGACAGAAACTAAGAACTGTGTTTGGAGAACAGCTATTCCTATTGCATTTATGTGGTCACTTTAAAAACAATTACTGCATAATTACTGGCTCAAGAGATTGCTATAGGTGATTCACACACCTGGCAAAAATACAACCTGTGGATATTCCTCCCTTGGAACCCTTTCCATTCTCTGGAATTCTTTCTCATTTTTCCCTAATAAGTCTGTTTGCTCTGTTC